TAACTTGGTGCAGGTATAATCTGTCTGTTAGGGAGGCGTCACGTGCACGTGACACGATTCTTTCGTTTTATTATTATTATTATGCTCATTTGTTACGGTTATGATACACTCAATACCCTAAAGTCTTGTAATTTGTAACCTTTAAATTAGTTTTTAATAAAAAAAATTTTGATTTTACTTTGTTATGAGTAAAAATTATCAAATTTTGTAAAAATCAAGGTTATAAATGTAATCTTGAACCGTATTTAGTTGACATTAGAGGTGATCATGACATTAGAGGTGATCATCGGTTGATTGAGTCGGGTTTTGACCAAAAATAATGCTAAATCGACCATTTTGTCCTTCCTTTGTTACACCGACCGATCAATTGAACGGTTCGATTAGTCGTTTTTTCGGTTTAAATCATTTTTTTCGTTATTGGAGGGAAAACAAATATGAATGTTGAAGAATATAAAATAACGCTAAAATATGTCATTAATAACTAAAGAATGAATCAAAGATGAATCCAAGAACACAAAGAAGGGTCTTACTATGACATCTAGCTTGTGTGAGTGAGCGGAAAGAAGCTAAGAGACTTGAGATTTGAGAGGGAAATATAGATGGGCAAAAGTGAGATTGAAAGAATAAGATACTGGTTGGATGAAATGGTTGGAAAAAAAGTGTTATGGGAAGATAAAAGAAGAACCAACCAAGCGACAGAAAGGGAGATCAAATCAGAAGTTCAGACACACGAACTAGGTAAGCCCGAACCCAGCGGCTTGAGTCGACCAAGGCCGACCAGGTCTCGGGGTCGAGGAGTTCTCGGCCACCGATCGAGAACCCTAGCGGTTCTCTCTCAACCTCTGTGTTGGTCGACTCAAACCTACCTTGTCTCGACCCTCGATTTAACATTAAGTCCACGACGAAACAAATGGACCCAAAAGTCCAGATCTCCCGAGCACACTAGAATTCGACTTATGTAAATCCTAAAAGTATTAAGATTCAACCTCTATAATTTCTAAAGAGATTAGGATTCTACTCCTATAAATAAGAGGGTGAACCAAGCCCTAAAGATATGCAAAATCCACTACAAGTCCCTACTATTTGCTATGCAAGCATCGCAAGAGCCATACTGGTCTTTAGCGTTATTATGTTTTGCAAGTCTCGTCGATCTCTTTTATTCTAGAAGACTGATACTAATTTGGCGGAATCCAAACTAAATTTATGCATCATATAATTTAAGATAAATTTATAAATTATTTAAAAATTAAAATTTTGCTGCATAATAAATCGATAATTTTAACAATTCTTTCAATTTTGATTCATTTTAATTGTGTACTTTATAAATATTTATTTTAGTTTACTCCCAAATTTTATTTATTTAAAATTTGTCGTCTTTTTTTTTTATATTTCTATATTTTTAAAAAATATAAAGTAAATATTTTTAGTAAAGTATAAAGGCGATTGAAAATACTAAAATGAATAAAAAGTGAAAGAAGGATAAAAATGGACGGTTTAAAAGTTCAGATACTAAAATGAAAAAAACAAAAAAAAATTTTCCCCCTAAAATTTGAACCTAAAACCTAACGCACCCGTATAAATCGACTGGAGCCAGGAACCCTAGAAAGTAAAACTACTTGATCTTATCAGAGCCAGGACTGAGAATTTGGCGATGGCGGTTCCCAAGCTAATACCTCGATTCGCTTCTTCTTTCCCTTTCAACCATGGTCGAGCCACCCTCCCTTCTCTACAGGGCTGTTCAGGAGGTTCTGCCATGGATGAACAGTGGATCGACGGGGAGTTTCTGGTACTTGGTTGCTCCGTCTCCCCTCTTTCTTTTGTTCCAGCAATGACGACTGCCTGCCGTCGGAGCCGCCGTTTCTTGCAGTCTATTTGACTCGGCGATGATGGCTACGCAGGCTTGCATCACAAACATCTCGCTTTTCGGTTATTTTACTTCTGTTTTTTCCCCGTTCTTTCTCTTTTGATGTGTGTTTTAGTACTGCAATGACTTCGCTGTCCCAATCGAGTGGAGTCCGTCTTCAAAAACTTGATAAACATGTTTAACAAATTCTGATATTATAATGAAGTATTCCTGTGTAGGGTATAGGAATGTAAGAAGGGAATTGATTTGCTGTTTTTTGAGTTCTAATCTAGAATCTTAACGAGATAGGTTGGATCTTCATTGAAATCACACCATCATTTATCCTTTCTCATTTCTGTACATGTTTTTGCTTTATCTTCCAAGGATCAAGTCGGTTTAAGATGACCAAATTTGCGTACATTTGGGAGACTATGGTTGGATGTAAACTTTATTTCCTCTTTCTTTCGAAAACTGATTTGGGGTTTCTTTATTTCCTTTCTTTTTCCTTCTTCGAATACTGTAGCATATAGTTCTATTGATGAAAATTCTAAGTTCGTCAATTTCTGACTTTCCACTTCCTCTCACAGATTTCCATTTTTATTTTTATGTTCGGTCTTTCTTCTACTACTATCAGAAGTAGGATACATGCTCTTATTTGTTTTTTGGGGTCTAGGTTGATAGTTTTCTGTCATGTCTGCAGATAATAGTTACCTCACACCTTGAACATGGACGTCTACTAATTTATTTTGTATCCAAACATAAATCGTTTCCTAATGAAAAATAAAGCAGGAGCCACTGGCCATACCTTTCTAAGTTCATCTGCAATGGTGATCACCATTAGGAAGAATTTCAGCAGAGGATGATAAGTCAGTGTAGTTGCTTTTAACGCATTCAGGTACATATAAACCCTTTTTGGTTCTTATAGTAGTCATCTTAGGAGTCTGCTTGGTGTCTTTTTTCCTGATCTACCACTGGTTTGAAAATAGATGTTTGCTTGTTCTTGGAGTCACTGAAAAGCTCATTTCTCAGAGATGGTGAGGTTGCTCAACCAGTTTTAAGCTCTCGTTCTCGTTAAACCATAGTTGCAGATGATGACCACCAGTGCTGTCTATATGTCTGTGTCAAACTTTGTAGAATATGAAGGCCTAAAACTGTGGCAACACGTACAACTGGAGGAGATTATTTGATCAAACATTTGACCTTAAGTGGTTGGTTAAGGTTGTTGGGTTCAAGAATTCCTAATGGTCTTTGTCTGTCTTGCTGGAGAAGATGTGGTTGTACTGTATGTCTATTGTGCTGCAAAAAGTAATGAATTTGATTTACTTTCTTGTTGATGAAAATTTGTATTGAAATTTAAGGGTAAATATAAAGCTGCTGTGTTAGCTCTCATGAAAACTACAGAGATATTCAAGTGGCAATCTTCAAATCTGGACTACTTGGAGCAAAGCGTAGCTACATGTTAAATCATGCAGTTGGGAATCGAACTAATCTGCTACAATGATTTTTTCTGTCATATCTTTGAAGATGTATTCAAGCTAATATGTAACGGATTACTTAAATAGCAAAAAAGACTTAGAGGGAATGTGTTCAAATCGTGGTGGCCACCTATTTAGGATTTAATATCTTATGAGTTTCTTTGACAACCAAATGTAGTAAATTGATTTTACCTTTAAAATTTTACTTTCTACATATCTAATTTCTTTAAAAGATAATTAAAAGATGGTTGAAAAGTAGGTTAAAATGAATCTTTTGAAAGACCAAAATTGAATCGAAATTGAGAGTGTATCTAAAATGTATGGTAGAATTTTGTACTCTTTGAATGAGACCCATTGAAGTACTTTCATCACATCTCAAGTGGCTTAATTCAGACCCGGGTAAACTTAAAAATAAAAAAGACACAAAAGTTGTAAAGGAGAGTACATAATTATCATTATTTAGCCAGATAAGGAAATCAATCAAAAAAGGCTTTAAGGTCTTACCAGACTTGGATTGTGATATTTGGCATTGGCAAGCTTAGGATGAGAACCAGAACCATGTGGATAAGAAGGGTTCTTTTAAGTATTAAAAAGTCCATCCAATCAAGCATTCTTCAAGAATTTAATCTTCTTTCCTTCACCTAATAACTTGAGCCATCAGTGATTCAATTAATTCACCCATCTGCAAACAGCTCTCTTCTTTTTGTATGTGTTCAGATTTGAGAGGCTAATATCTTATGTTTTCTAGTGGCAGAACTAAGGATATGCATTGGTGTTTCTCACTTGGTGAGCCTATATCTCTTTCTCATTTGCAACGGTATCGACGTCGATCAGATCAGATCATCTGAAGCAGATTCCTATCGAAAAAATGACATTGTTAGTAATTGCCAAGAATCAGCACTCTCAGCAGAATCAGAAACCAGCAAGTGAATGGTAGAGAAAAGGAACTTACAGTGTATCCCCTTCATAATTCAAGTTGAACCTTCATCAATTAAGAGGCGAATTGTATTAGGAGCAATATTTTCTCAAGTCCAAGAATCCCCTCCTCACTCCCACATTGCACAATACAGCCTCATTCATGTCACAATTCCTTGTCAAAGCCAGCTTTTGCACAGGAAGAACAACGACAAAAAACCGAAATGAATTAGAAAGGGAATTGGATGAGTATTGATGAAGTATATCAGAGAATTCCCTTTTCCAAACGAATACTGATGAACTCTAGACAAGGCTCTGGCCTGGAACTTTGGTGGAATTGCTGCAGTCCATCATTCTTCTCCATTTCTCTGCCTCACCATATTTTCCAGCTGCGGCGAAAATGTTAGACATGAGCACATAATCACCTCCATATGCTCCCTCCATGGATAATATCCTCCGTGTTACCCTCTCGGCCATCAGTACGTTACCATGAAAACTACAAGCACCCAACAGCGTCCTCCAAATAACAACATTGGCAATCTCCATAGGTATCTCCGACGCTATTCCTTCAGCTTCTTCAAGTCTCCCTGCCCTTCCCAACATGTCTATCAAACTCCCATAATGCATTATATCCGGCTCAATCTGATACTCAACAACCAGCTTTTTGAAAAACTCCAGACCTTCCTCAACCAGTCCTCCATGGCTGCAACCACTTAAAATACTCAAGAATGTGACCCGGTTGGCCTTGTGGCCTTCTTTTTCCATCATTTCAAAACTCTCCATAGCTTCTGCTCCCATTCCGTGCATCGTGAATCCCGAGATTATTGACGTCCAAGACACCAGATTCTTTCTTTCGACAGACATTTCTTCGAACACTCCCGATGCACTATCAATACAACCACATTTTGCATAGCAATCTATCAATGAATTAGTAATCCGTACATCAGACGCCTTAAACCCTTTCTTCTCTGCATAAGCATGCACAGATTGACAAATCTTAAGAGCCCCAAGATTCGAAATGGAAGGGAAAATAGTTAGAAGTGTTATTTCAGTAGGCTCCATACCATAATGAGCAACCATTCTCCAAAACAAACCCGCAGCTTCCTCGTGCCTGTTGAGACGAGTATACCCATCAATTATAGCAGTCCAAGACACAACAGTCCGCGCCGGCATCCGATCAAACACAGCACGAGCCCGTTCAAGCTCACCCAATTTTACCAGACCAGTAATCAACACATTCCAAGTGACAGAGCTTCGGTCAGGCATTTCGTCGAACACCTTCAGGGCATCAAGTAGAAACCCAGAAGCAGCGTACAGTCGGACAATTGAAGTCTGGACATAAACATGGGAACGAAAGCCTACCTTGAGAGTGAGAGCGTGAAGCTGAAGCCCTGGAAGGAGGAGCTCCAAATCGGCGCAAGAATGGAGGAGGAAGGAGTAGACGAAGGTGTCGTAGGAGGGGGGAAAGGAAGGGAAACGGCGGAGGGGCTCGAAGAGAGGGTAGCAACGGAGCAATGTGTTGCAGAGAAGGATGAAATGGGCGGTGGCGTGGAGAAGTAGACCGGAGGTGATGATGAAGGAACGAAATTGCTGGGCGGCTTTGTGGGTGGTGGCGTATTTGATTACCTGAGAGATCACGAGGCGCGGCGGAGAGCGGCGGAGAGATTCGGATGCGGCGGAGGGAGAGAGTGATTTGATTTGAAGAGATGAAGAAGACAATGAGAGGAATTGAAGGGTTTCAAACGCAGAGAAAGTTTTTGAGGAGAGGAATTTCCATGGCTTCCATAAGCTGAGCATAGTTGGATTTAGAATTGTTAAGTTTGAGTTTCTTTTTTAAGTTTGGAGAGTCTATGAAGTTCTATGCTTGAAATGCGAAGTTTTGAAAGTTGGATTAGTCTAACAAATTTTAGGCTTAAGATATCTTAAGCTCAAACTCAAATCCTCGCTCGAATCTCGAAACTCCGAACATCTCTTTTTTTAGATCTAATAGTGTACAATTATCTAAAAAACTATTTTAGTTCTGTTGATCTGTAAATTCGAAAACTTTCATAACCCTAAATATAGATTCGAGGCACTTTTGTAGTTTCTCTCTCTTAAATATAATGATGCAAAACTACTGGTTTATGTGAAACCAAAGGAAATTGTAGGTAAAAACCTTTCCAGGATCCTAATTGTCAATATCTAAAACCCAAATTTAAATTGTCACGATCCAAGGGAAAGACTAGATGATGGATGACCTTTTTGATCGAAAACCATGAAATAAGAAGAACTAATTTCCTACTAGAGCGTTTGAACACTCAATAAGTAGGTTGATCAAACAAACTCATCTTGCAACCTACATTAAGAATTGCAAATGGTAGAAACGACTCAAAGGCTCAAAATTCCATTTTGTAAAAACTGAATTGTCTTACAACTTAAATGATAAACTTATATTTGGCTTACCGATAAAAAGATCCCATGTGACATCAAATACTAATTCTAATTTATTTTAGTATGAATAAATAAATAAAATAACAAACTAAAATAATTAGGTCAGTACTTGGCCCAAAATAAATAAGCTAAGGCCTAATTGATTAAGCATTTAACTGAAGTAAAAATAAACGAAATTAACACTATCATCAAATTGAGTTTGATGGTAGATTTGTTGGTTATTATTTATTAAGGTCGTTTCTTCTAATAATTTTCCCTCCAAACAACTTTGATTTTGATTTTGATTTTGATTTTTTTTTAAAAGCTATATCCTAGATTTTCTAACATTTAGTGGACTTTCTTTGTTGATTATAAATTTTGAACCTTTCTTGATTGTTAGGTTTGATGCCGAGTCTTTAATGGAAAGGTATGCACTGATTTGACAATACTTGGGTTTCACTTAAATTAGTGGGATTTTTTTTTTTTTTTTTTTTTTTAAAAGGTTAGGCAAACTTTTACGGATGAACATATTGGAAGGCTAAAAAAAAAGGTAAATGAAACAATATTCATAAAAGTGAAAAGATAACAAATTTTACTGCAGTGTCTACCCAATACCTCTCAATACTTAAAAGTCAAAACAAGATTTTAAGTTAGGCAAACTACTTTAATATATAATTGCGAGTAGCTTGAGCGATCTCTTTCCACTCATCTCAATAGGTTCCATGTCTATGGTGCAATATTGTATCATTAAGTATCTCTTTCTTGCTTGCATCATCGTGAGGTGATAGAACAATTTAAATATTGGCTAGGGTGGTTGGGAATGGATAACTAATATTGTGTGGTAAAACTCTAGCTTAAGTTGGACGAGGATACTCGAGTTAGTGAGGGTATGATGCAAAAAACCTTAGTACTTGATCCGAGCTGAAGAGGTGACCTAACCTTGAGTGCATAATTGTAGTTGTTAACATACTCTGGATTTGTGTCATTGCTTGATATTTAGAATTGACCCTAGATATCATGATGCTAGACGCCATGGTTACATTCTCCTGTATAAGTGTGGTGGAAGACGTCCACACCAGTGTGTAGTGATCCTTCATGTTACGTGCAAGTATAAATACGTAACACGAAAAGTATCTTGAGTATTTTTACAATGGTATGATATTATTGTTCACTGTGGGCGTAGCTCTCACGACTTTCCTTTTGGTTTCACTCAAAAGGTTTCATACCAACAGAAATAATTATCATCTCTTATATATCATAAACCACTCTCTTCCCTAACTAATATGAGATTTTATTTAATACCTTGTAACCCTACCTATTGAAGGGGAGACATGATCGTGGGGATCACATGACCCTTATCATGCCTCCCCTTATCAACTGTATTCAATTATGCGCAGTAACAACTAAAATGGAAAAAAAAAACAAAAAGTATGAAATTTTGAAGAAAACAAAGATTTTTGGTTAAGTTACAAATTTGGTTCATAAAAAGTACTAAATAAGTCTAGAAAATTTTAATATTGAATTTTCACCACCGCCCTTAATTGAGTTTTCTTAAGCTTCAAATAAAAAAGGGGAAAAAAATGAAGAAAACCGGGCGGGAATTCGTGGACGGTTATTTTGACCTGAAAGTATGAATTTCAGCCCCCAAAAAAACTGATGCTTTGCTTTTAATGGAAACTTTGAAATTCTTGCACATTGCTCTTCTCTCTCTCTTTGCCTTATTTTCAACTTTCACACGATCTTCTCTTTTCTTTCTAAAGTTTTTACGCGGCGGATTCTACGTTTACAGTTTTGTTTGATCTGAATTCGTATTGATCTCTTTTCACATGTTTATGACCACATTTTTACCTATGTTACTTAGAGATACAAGTTTATTATCATCGAAGAGTTATTTGTACTCGATCTCTATTAACTCACCACGTCGTGATGATATCTCTTAGAATTTTAGTTTAAAGAGATTTTACTTGAAATTTAATAGAAATAATTTACAAGTTAGTAATATCAAAATTCATTAGGGGCGTTTGTTTTTCGAATGTTCAGAGATATTTTTATTCATATTTGATATAAAACATTAAATTAAAATATATTTAAAAATATTTTATGGATATAATATAGTTTTTAAAGGAAATACAGTAAATTTACAAATAAATCATTTATTTTAAATAAAAAATATTTTTTACATTTTTTTAACTACAATAAATGGGGTGGGAGATTCAAACTTATAAACTCATGATTGAAAATAGATGCTAATATAGATGTCAGTACTACTAAGCTAAATTCATGTTGGCGCTTCTACATTTATGTTAACGCACAAAAATAATAATTTATATATATCAATATTAGGGATACTTCATAATAATAACAATGAGCAAATTCTAAATTTATTAACGGTTGGAGTAAATTATTGAGTAATAATATAGTTCGGAGAGTTCGAGCCTTCGTAAATCTGTTAGGTGTCTTGACTAATTGGACTAATTTTTTTGCCACATCATATTGTATATATTAAAAAAGAAAAGGAGAACTATATGCAACAGTTTTCTCGTGATAATTAAATTAACTAATAGATGCAATTGAATTCATTCGGTAACGCTTTCATTTTGTCTTTATTGTTCCTATTTTATCTTTTCTTTACTCTTTTGTTTATTTAATAAGGAAAGAGAAAAATACTTTGTTGTCTTCTTTATAGAGAATAGAAATAGAAATCAAGATATTAAGATGTTAGTTGATATATCAACGTTTTCGTATGTTTATAAATTCGATATCGATATAAAAAGTGTATCGACATTTTTATAACAACGCAAAAAATTAGACAAAATGTAAAAAGAATATGAACAAAATAATATTAATGTAGAAATAATATTAATAACAAGACGAACTTTTAACTTATTTTAAAAAATGTGAAATAATTGTTTGTTAATTTAACTATTTTTTATGAAACTTTTTTTTAATTTTTARTTTTTTTATGGGCATGAATTCTATTGACATTTAAAATCAAGTTAAATTTTTTTTACTTAATTAAAGATAAAATACCTAAAATTGATATCATTTAAAATTTCCTTTTATGTTTTTTATTCATATAACTACAATTAAGTAGCATTTTCTACCCTTTGTTTGTAAGAATATTACATTACAAAATCACAGGATAAATACTGAAATTTTTTCACATTGACTTGAAGAATCGTAAAGAAAGAAACCAAACTACATCAAACACATAATGAGAAATGAGAAACAATGATTCACGTCTGAGTCATATTAATTACAAGAATTACAATGTTATCAAAAAAGGGAAGGAAAAAAGAAACAACCTATACATTATAATGTCATATTAATTACTACTTTATAAGAATAAATACAGCAGCCAGGAAAGTTCTTCCAATATTCCCTCCCAAAAAAAGAAAAAAGAAACAGACCCATCTGAAGCTGGCTATGTAACAGAGGAATCAGAATCTAAACCCAAAAATCAAAATCAAAATCAAAATCAATCAAATTAATTAGCAAACTATTGGTGATGATGATGAATCAATGTTCAAATGGGAAGATGGGAAAATGCCAATTTTAAAAAAAACCATCGCATTTGCTCATCAATTTTTTAAGTTTTGATTAATTAATTTTCAGTAATCCCACAGGTCCAGATCCGCCATGGCCGCCGCCTCGTAGTAGTCTACGGAGGACGATAGCTCCTCCTCCATCTTACACTCCATCGCCGCCGCCGCCGCCGTCCCGCCGGCCAGATGCTCGAAGGAGAAGAACCCGTCGTCTGGAACCGGCGGGAATGGGTTCGTCGCTGGAATTATCGCCGGCGGCGGCGGTTGGTGGTGGTGGTGATCGTTTGGGCCGACGGAGATGTATTTCGGGTAATATCCGGATGGTCCCGGCGGCCTCCATTTCATTCCGCCGGCGATCAGAATATGAGCGGCGGTGGGATCCATGAGAGGTGGGAGATCAGATGAAGAAAAATCAGAAGTTTGAGCTCTTCTTGCTGCCGCCGTCGCCGCCGTGGTGGTGGCGTTCTTGTGGAAAATCCGGCAAACAACCCATTCGTCCTGTAAATTACAAATTAAACTTTATGCTTAAATTTTCTACCTTTATCTAATATTTTCCATCCATTAAACACAATATTAAAATGTACTAAAAAATTACATTAAAAAACTTAGAGCTAAAATTTATAATTTAACTAAAAACATATTGTATTTTTTTCATGCTTCTACTCTACTTTCAAGAATTTTCAAACAACAAAAATAGTAATACGCCGCGTCTTTAATTAAAGAGATTATGAATTTTACATATATACGTTAATTCAACAATACTCTCAAACTTTACCATTTATTTTAAAATTATCCCAAACTTCTAATTTTAAGAAAATAATTGATAGAATTTGAAATGACGTGATAATTAAATTGAACGCAATAATTTAATCTGAATAGTCAATTGTGGGTCCGTCATTATTATTTTTTTTTCGGTGAAATTCTTTTACAAAAATTTTGTCGAAAAATAAGAAAAAGAATATTTTCCATGGGAGTGTGAAGAATGGGATACCTTGTAGGATTTGGGAAGACGAAGATGGTGGGAGAATTTGGGTTCGAGACGAAACTCATGCATAACCCAGTTGGTTTTTTCGCCCTTGGGAGCTCTCCCTTTGTAGAAAACCAGCGTCTTCTTCATTCCGGCCAGAACCGCTTTTCCTTTGAAAATCTCCCGATCTTTTCCGGTCGCCTTCCAGTACCCGGTCTGCGTCGCCCGATTCGTTCTCGTTCCGGTCGGATACTTCCGGTCTCTCTGGCAGAAGAAGTACCATTCTTTCTCTCCCATCTTCGCCTTCTCTGCACACAACAACNTAGTAATAAATTTACTTATTCTATTTTTTTCTTTTTTTTATATAAAATTTTAAAATAGTCTTCATCTTTAATTTCAAGTTAATTTTCATTGACTTAAAACGAGAGGAAAAAAAAACTCCATTCCAAGAAATTGTGGGATGGGAGTAAGGGCAAAGTCAAGAGATTTCATAGAGAAGAGATAAATTTTAAAGAGAAAATTTTAAAATCTTGATTTTCTTCTCAAACGAATCGAGGGAAGGCTAATAAAAATTATGGAAATTAATCTTTGAATAGTACTAAGAATAATCCAATCAACTTATTTGATAACATTTTATTTGTGATTTTTTATTTTTAAAAATTTATTAAACTAAATAATCTTTTGTTATATAATTTTAAAAAAAATTATAATTTTTCAGAACAGAAAACAAAAAACGAAATGCTACGTCGAGAATCAAAATGAAAAAGAATTGACGAAAATTTAGAGAAAGAAAAAGATAGGAGAAACCCACGAGGCAAATCCCAAGGCTCGCACTTGTTCAAGTCGGCTTCTCCGATGGCGGCGGCGGTGAAGGTGGCGTCGACGATCTTTTGGATAAGATAATAAGTCACGATCTCCTCGTCGGTAGGGTGGAATCTAAATCCGGGGGGCAAGTACTCCACGGCGGTCGCCGGTAGCTCTTCCATGCCGGAAAACTTCAGAACCTCAGTCGGAATATTTATTACTATTCTTCAGCTCCGGTGAAGAATCTGACGGCGGAGATTTGATCAAACAGAGTGATCGGAAGTTTAGAGATAGAGAGAGAGAGAGAGAGAGAGAGAAAAAAATAAGATTGAAAGAAAGTAAATTCAGGAGAGAGGAAGAGGGCTTTAAATAAATAAAGAAGAAGGTTCCGTGGCCCCCAAGGAAGATTTCAAGGGAAGCTTTGAATTGGGAGTTATGAATTTGAATATCATATTATTTTTTTCTCCCAACCTTTTTATGTTTATGGCGTCATCTCAAGTCTCACACTCCTATGATTGGATTAGCCAGGAAAGTTGTTAGAAATTTTCTTGTCCGTTGACGAGAGTTTCTACTAAACTTTTCAGGTAACCTATCGGCGTTTCTACTAATCGGTGTTTGTGCCTAAGTAAATATTTGATTAACAATTGATGTAGGATTGTTGGATTTGTAAGCTACACGGTTTTAATAAATTAAATTTATTATCACACGAAGTTTTTTGAGTGAAATCAAAAGTAAATTCGTGAGAATTATGTCTAAAGTAGACAATATCATATCATTGTGGAGATATTTAAATACCGTTGTTTTCAATAGGGGTTTAGTAAAATATTAAAAAAACTATTTACGAATAGAGTTTTCTAAGGTGAATAGAAGCCAGAAGGAGAATAGGTAGTGCGACTTAATATATTTTCTCCATATAAGATGTTTAGTTCATGGGTTAGTTTATGTGTAAACTCAAGACTTTTAAGAAGTCGAGTTAAATGTTTGGTATATCGAATTTGTTTATTCTAAAATTACTGTTGGTTGGTATAAAGATCAAATTTAAAGGTCGAAAAAAATGAGTTCAAATATTGGCCACCTATTYAGGTATGAGTTTCTTGATAATGATCAAAATCCAAAATTTTGAACTCCTGGTTTTACATAAAACTCCGTACTTTAATTGGACGAATCATTAATTTGCAAAATAAATACAAGTTACACGAATTTATATTTATATCGTGGATATTTTTGTACCAACAAAATGCAAGCTACATAAATTTAAAGTTTTTAATTTATTTCAAGCTTAAATGGTAATAAACTTAATTTATTAAAACCGTGTACCGAACATTAAAAAATAATAATAATAATTTGTCTAAATTGTATTTAATAAATAAGCATATATTATTACTTTTTATATTTAAT